ATTCATAACAGTAGCAAAATTGCAGTTATGAAGTAGCAACGAAAATAATTTTATGGTTGGGGGGGTCACAACCACATGAGGACTGTAGGAAAGGGTCATGGCATTAGGAAGGTTGAGAACCACTGTTCTAGTCAGAAATCCGATACCTGCTTGGAAAAATATTACGGTCAAGGCATAAAGATCAAACCATATGTAGCCACTTACTTGCCTTATTAAACAAGGGTAGAAATTATGCACCATGAAAAACTGTCACTTCTGACAGTGAGAGTAAACCTTCACCCTCTCCTCTGAGATCAGAGGAGAGAGCCTGGCTGAGAAACAACCCTTGGGGGGCTTGTGTTCCCAGGAATTCCCATCAGTCCTGCCCTGTTCACCCTCCTTGACAGCAGAACACTGGTGCCTGCTCTTCCTGCAGAACTTCAGAGGGAACACCTATGGCCTCTCTCTGGGTCTGAGGCGCACCTGACCCTCTGGTCTTCTCTCCCAGGTGAAGAGTCCCAGTTTGAGATGGACATTTAAAGGACCAGCCACTGGAGTGAGCACTGCCTCAGGCCCTTCTTGAGAGTCCCTGTTGGGAGAAGAATCACACCAGCCAGGTCTAGTGAACCGTTACCACCCTGGCTGGCATCGGGTGTGTGGGGTCGGCTAACTGGCCTTTCCCCCCCACCCCCACCCCCCTCAGCACCAGCAGATGCCTCCGTGTGCCTCTGTGAATGCAGGAGTTGTCACGCCCAGGGGAGTGACCCTCAGGCACATCCCTGCAGCCGAGGGGCTGGAAGTGGACACGGAGGAGCCCTTCTGATGCTGGTCCTGCTCTTCCAGCCCGTCCTCTGAGCATGCTCCTTCTTTAGGTTGGTGTGCCCTGGGAAAGGATCCCCACCCCCCCTCCCCCAGAGAGGAAATAAAAGCCATCTTCATCCTGGGGCCAAGAGTCGGGCCCTGCCTGAGTTCTTTTCACCTTGTTCGTGTTGCTAACACCGGCTACTGTTCAGACAGTTATTATATAGCACTTACCTATTGTGTCCTCCTTCGTATCTCACACGGCTTCTGTAAGGTAAGTGGGGCAAACATCATCCTCATTTTATGGATGAGAAGATAGGCCAGAGGAGTTAGGGTCACACCTCGAGTAAATGATAGAGGAGACCGGGGCCAACCTCTGCTACTGAATCTTAGTTTCAGTGGTGAGAATGTCCTGTCTTCTGCCCCACCACCCACTCCTGGTCTTTTAAGGACCTTGTCTCCTTTCCTCTCATGGGCCATCCATGTGGAAGTCACAGGAAGAGACTGAGCCTTGAGGCAGGGCAGAGGCTGTTTGATCCATGTGTACCAGATGTTCGTCGAGTGATGCCTGTGGGAACTGCCTGGGGGAGCAGTCTGAGACAAGCTCACTGCCTTGGGGATGTCACTGAAACACAAGATCTGCCCGTAAGAAAAGGTAGTAGCAGAAGAGATGACAAGATCGTGTAGGGAGGCTTCCTGGAGGCAGTGGCGTTGCAGCAGGGCCCTGAAGATTGAAGGGGTGAGTGATTGCAGGGCCAGTGTTACAGATGTTGAGGGGTTTGGGGCAACTAGGGTGTGTTAGGAGAAGGCATCAAGAAGACCAGTTTAGCCAGAGCAGGCAACTTATGTGGGTGGGCATTACTTTTTTAAAGTCCCCTGAGGGCCAGATTTGAAGGCTTTAAAGAGCCAGGCAGAGATCTTTGCTAAAAAGTAGGTGTTTTTCAGCAAAGGATATGCCAAGGGGTGAATGGCCTTTGCACAAGGAAGCAGTGGATGTCATGGATTGTACAAGCTTCCAGCAAATACCACATAAATCTCTCTGGGGAGCGGGAGTGCTCAAGCCCCTACATTGGACTTCTCTAGCTAATCCACACCACTCGTCTCTCAGTTTGAAATCAGTCATTTTGTCATACCGTGGTGTGTTGCTGTGATGCTAGTAGCTATCTCACTGGTACTTCAAGTGTTAACAGGGTCACTCAAAGTGAACACGTTTAAGGGGTGCTTCTAGACTACACAGAAGAAAGAAAGGAATAATCCATTTCTGAAATTAGCCAATAAAGACCTGATAAATAGCAGTGGAACACTGTCAGATACAGTGCCAGAAGTGGAGGCTCAAAATATGACTGAAGAGCTACCTTGATAAAGTAGAGTAAACCATAATGCTGTGGATGGATTAAAGCTTTCAGGGCTTCATTTGCTGATGGAACAAGACTCACAATGAGAAGAAATGGCTGCAAACATCTATTCAGAAGTGGGACATGGAATGTATGAAGTATGAATCTAGGAAAATTGGAACTCATCAGAAAAGAAATGAAAGATCAGTAATCTGAGGAAGGAATAGTTAGAAAATAGGGCCTCAGTGATAGAAATGAAGCTGGAAATTGCATGGTATAATTTTGTAAGACCATCTTCATTGCACATACTGTTTTTCAACAACATAAACAATGACTATCGAAACACGTGGACCTCACCAGATAAAATACCCAGGAATCCAACTGACTATGGGAAGTCAATGGGACAGCAGGCGACATGATACCTGGGGCTGACAGTGGAGCAGATCGTCAATTGCTTATTCAGGATGAAGCTGATAAAAATTAAGTACATGAGTGCCAAAATATGTCCTTGAGAATACCCCACCCCACCTGGATTTAAAGAACATCTCAAGAAGAGATGTGATCCATCGAACACTGATGACGGACCTGACCAGCTGTGAGATGACTTCAAGAACATACACAGGGAAATGGCATGGTCAAGATCCAGTTTAAAAGGCTGCGTATGAACAAGAACCAATGGTACTGAAGGAAGGAACCCGAGCTGTACTAAAGACATTAGTTAAAAACAAGGCTCAAGGAGTTGATGGAATGAATGCCCATTGAAATATTTCAACAAGCTGATAAAACATTGAAATCACTCACTAGTCTATGCCAAGAAATTTGGTTTCCAATTTTTATTTAATAAATGTTTCTATAATTTTGTAGAAATTCTTTTTTAAAAATAATTTTATTGGGGGCTTGTACAACTATCACCATCCATTGTGTCAAGTACATTTGTTGCCATCATTTTCAAAACTTTTTCAAAGCTATGCATTTAAATATTTTTACAAAGTAACCTTAGAACCTTCAAAGCTCTCCATTACACTTAATACATTTGTCAAATCTATGATTCTATTCTTGGAAACATTTTTGTTTTATGGGTACTTTTTAAACATTTTATTAGGGGTTCATACTTTTATCACAATCCATACATGCATCCATTATTCTGAAAACATTTTCTTTCTACTTGAGCCTTTGGTAGCAGCTCTTTTTTCCCCCTCTACCCTCCCTCACGAACCCTTAATAATTTATAAATTAATATTTTTTCATGTCTTACCCTGACCAATGTCTCCCTTCATGCACTTTTCTGTTGTCCATCCCCCAGGGAGGGGGTTTATATTTAGATCAATTTCCCCTTTCTCCCCCCAACTTTCCCTTACCCTCCTAATATTGCTACTCTCAATATTGGACCTGAGGGGTTTATCTGTCCTGGATTCCCTGTGTTTCCAGCTCTTATCTGTACCAGTGTACATGCTCTGGTCTACCCAGATTTGCAAGGTAGAATTGAGGTCATGATAGTGGGGGGGAGGGGAGGTAGGAAGCATTACAGAACTGGAGGAAAGTTGTAGGTTTCATTGGTGCTATACTGCGCCCTAACTGGCTCATCTCCTTGAGGTCCTTCTGTGAGGGGATGTCCAATTGTCTACAGATTAGTTTTGGGTCTCCACTCTGCACTTCCCCCTCATTCACAATGATATGATTTTTTGTTCTGGGTCTTTGATACTGATCCTATCAACACCTTGTAATCACACAGTATGCCAAGGAATTTGGAAAACTGCTATCTGGCCAAACAACTGGAAGAAATCTATATTTGCACCCATTCCAAAGGTAGTCAAACAGAATGTGGAAATTATCAGATAATATTAATAGCATATGCAAATAAAATTCTGCTCAGATCACTCAGCAATGGCTGTAGGAACTATCGGAAATTCAAGCCAATGAAGTCAAGCGACCATCTAGCAGGGAATGTATGATAACTTCCCAAAAGGATTGCTGAAGACAAAATGGGTGCATAAGTAAATGTGAAGATAAACAAGCGGCCATCTAGCTGGGAAGCAATAAAGCCTACGTGGAAGAAGCACACCAACCTGTGATCATGAGGTGTCAATGGGAATAGGTGTCAAAAGTTCAAAAACAGGCAATCAAATTGATGCTTGGACATGGACAAAGCATATAACATAATCGAACAGTCCCACACAGAAGGGAGTGGTATAGCACTGATGAAACAACGATTCTCTAGTTCTTTAATATTTCCTTCCCTTACTGTTATGACCTTTGTTTCACCTCATTTTGTTAGACCTGCGTATGTTCATTTGTATAATTAAGAGCACTTGATAGATGAAAACCAAAGTAGATAACCCTTCAGAAAAAGCAGGAATAATGATTCCCTGAAGTTATGGGAAGAGGGGTGGGGGAGAGCTAAATAACAGAATTGTAGGTGAATGTATACAATGGATGGTGTAAGATATGGCAAATAATATATAATAACAAGGGTTCCTAGGGGTAGGGTAGGAGAAGCAAGGGATAAAGGGAAACTGACATCAAAAGAGTTCAAGAAAAAATGTATTGAAACAAATGGTGATAGCACTTGTATAATTATGCCTGATCTAATTGAAATATGGATTGTTAAAATATCTGTAAATGCTCCCATTAAAAAAAAATTCAAGCCAGATTCAGAAGAGGATGTGGAATGAGAGGTATCTGTGCTGATATAAGGTGGATATTGGCTGAAGGAATACCAGAAAGATGTTTTTGACTATGCAAAGGCATTTGACTGGATAATAAATTATGGATAGCATAGCACCTGCTGATGAAGACTGCCTATCATCAAAGTGTGGTGAAGAAAGCAGATGGTGGCCTTCCTGGAGTAGTGTCTGGGGTCTGTCTTAAAGGCTTGTATTCAAACAAGCAGCCATCTAAGTTAAGAGTAAACTAAGTCCACCTTGAAGAAGCACACCAGCTTCTTTGGTCCAAAGATGACAATAACAAAATCCAAATTTGACAGAGGAGAAAGTATCAGAGCTTAACTTATGAACTCCCAGTTGGTAGAAGGCAATGGAGCACAGTGGGAACCCAAAATTCATCTGTATCTAGTCAGATTTAGCCTCTGGCAGATTCCTTCTGGCTACAGTCAAGGGAACAGCGTATCAGACAGATTGAACTTGTTAGATGGTCAGTTGACCCAACCTGAACTTGTTCTAGACTCATATTTCTAGCTTGTTGCATGACAAAGGTTTATTCTTTGGCTTTTTAAATATTGAAGATGGCCTTCTTACTCTGTATTTTCATCTTAATATTTTTATGCTGTCCATACCAAAAAATAAAAATGAAGCTGTCAGTATGGATTGCACTTGGTGTAAAGAAAACCAAAACGGCTTCAACTACTGAAACTGAAGGCTATCGTCGTCACAGTCAATGCTTAGGGAAGCGGCAGTCAAGAAATCAAATTTGGTACTGCATTGGGTATATCTGCTGCCCAAGACCTCTTAAAGGTGTTAAACGGCACAGATGCACTTTGATGACTAAGGTGTGCCTGACCCAAGTATTAGTATTTTTGATCCTTTCATATGCCTGTCAAGATTGCACATTGACCCCTCCCCCAAGAAGAATTTATCTCAAAGGATGGCACTGAATCTGCAGCTTCGGGAGAAGGATATATCTGACCAGAGCACACAGGAGCAGA